CGAGGTTGCTCCTCTCGCGAGATTTCGATCGCACTTTACCACATGTGCAGGGCAGCAAAAGTATCCTACACCTTGTCCTACATGCTGTTTGCGTTAATTTCTCCTGAAACGAGCCCGAATTGGTAATGAGTCGTCCACAGTGTCCTGCATGTGTAGGACATTCTGTCGGATTCAGGACTTTTTTCTGATTGCATTAATTTCTTCCCCAGGATCAGGCCGTTATATTCTGCTTTGTTCACGGTGAGGCTCTCGAAATAGCCCGATCTAGCTTTGACCACCTCCCATCCGGGCAGACTCCACACGATCGCGCTGAACGCGCCCCCACCACGCTTTACTCGAGCCGATCCATCAAAACTGACCATCCATAATTCCTCTTCTCGGTCTAGGGTGGGTATCGGCGCCTGGGTCCGGCGTTTAGATTCCTTTCGAGGAGCGATATCGGTCAGAGCGTCGCCCATCTTCGCCCTCGGCGTGATGCTGGCAGCGATCGCCCCCAGTATCTCGTCCTCGCCTTTCATACACTTCGTGATCTCGAGAGTCCAGGGGGTTAGAAGAGCTGACCATTGCCCTAGGCGACCCTGTAATCCTGTCGACTTGAACAGCCAGGCTAATGTGGAATGCCTTGTTAGGACCCGGATCTCGCGTCCCACTAGTAAATTATAGTAGAGATCCAGGATCCTCAGCAATGTCAACACCTCCAATTCGGTCACATTGTAATTCAACTCGCTCGTCTTCAAGGTGCGACTGGCGAACGCCACCGGATGGTAGATCTCGTCGTGTTCTTGCGTCAACGAGGCGGATATCGCCCAATCACTGGCATATACGATAACTACCGGCGTTCTTGTCTCGTCGAAGTGGCGGATAATTGGGGTAGTCGCGATCTTGGTTTTCAGGGTGATGAAGGCCTTATGCGTCCTGATCTACCTCTCATCTAATGATCTCGCCAACTGATGCTCTGGTGTGGCATTATCCCGTGCGATCGGGTCGTTCTGGCCCATGATCTTCCTCAGATCCGATCGTTTCACCAGTTCTGCAAACTCCACCTCGCGTAGTTCATATAGCACCGAGGCGTAAATAGCGTAGTCTTCAATACATCGGCTGTAATTATTGAGACTACCCAGGAACGACTGCATGGATCGAGTGATCCGGGGAATGGCAGATCGGTCAGGGATTTCAGGTCTTTTGGGTTCGCCTCTAGTCCTCCGATCGACACTCGATGCCCCAGATATCCTACCTTATCCATGCCTCAGAAGCTCTTCGCCACACTGATCGATAAATTCCACTTATCACAAGCCTCCAACAGATACTCCACCCTTTGGCACTTTTGATCCCACGATTCTGCTGCGATCATGATGCAGTCAATGTATGATCTCCGTCCCAACACTGAGTCCCGACCAGGATCGTCCGCGATCCCTGTCAGGAACATGTCCGTTGTAGTTCCAGCATCGCCTGATCTCGAGATCTTCAGGAATCCATACAACGCGTTCTCTACGAGGCGTTGATAAATCTGCGGGGCATTTTTCAGACCAAAAGACATGCGACTCCATTCGAATAATCCAAACGGGGTGATAAATGCGGAGAACTCGCGAGCCCGATCCGTCATGGGCACGACCCAGAAGCCGCTGGCCATATCCAGTGAACAATACCATAACGCCTTATCGAGATCCTCGAACAGATCGCTGATCAGAGGCATATGATACATCATCAGCCTCGTGAGGCTGTTTACCAGCTTTTAATCGATGCACAACCTGATATCCACACCGTTACTCTTGCGGACAATCACGATCGGTGAGGCCCATGGCGATGTCGAGGGTCGAATGATCTCGGCTGCTAGGAGGCCCTTGATCAGGCCCGCGACTTTTTCTCGAAATCGTGTGGGAACTTTCCAGGTTCGCAGTGCGATCGGTTTCGCATTTCCGACATCGATGTCGCACACGACACCCTTGGCCGCCGGGGGTAAGGCGCTCCCTTTGCCGATCAGGAGATGTCGCTTCTTCCAGATGATCTGCTGGAGCCTCTCGATCTCCTCGGGTGTAGCTGATCCGGAGTCTCCCACCTGCAGATCCTCGATGTTGACCTTCGCGGTCATCGAGATAGGGATTTCGGGGAGGACAGCGAGGCTTCCCTCGAGATCTTCAGCTGAGAGATCACCACTCTCGTGGTAATATATCTCATCTTCGTCCTCGGCATCCGGTGCTCCTTCCGCCAGAGGATCTCGTAGGTTGACGCCCTCGGTCGGGTGGATCGGGGATTTGACATCGAAGACTTCGCTGGGATCGAGTTTGATCTGGGTTTGACAGTTCAGATTTTCCGTTTTCGGCTCAAAATCCTTGATGCCAGTCCGATTCTTCCGTCCTGATATCCTTGGTTTCCGTCCGATCGGTAACCTGGTCCGACATGCTCTCACTTATCCCGCCGCCCTCAGCATCGCTGCTCAGGTATCGATCGGCATCGGGGCTGGTCGTTGGCGTAGATGGGCGTCCCCTTTCTGGATCGGGAGATTCCGCCTCGATCTGGGATACGTCGGCAATTCCCGCCCTCGGTCGAGATTCTAGGGTCGATGTCAACGTTCGATCTCTGTCAATATCATCGGATCCCTCCCTGCGAAATAACGATCGTGGCGTGAGATACGATGGTCGTTGTACTGCCGGCTTTGCAAGGTCCTCTATGAGTTCTGGAGGCTGCGATCTTGTATCTACCGTCGATTCTAATGCCAGATTTTGCCATTCCCGGTAGCGACGTGACCCGACGGACACGAACCCTGGGGATCGAGGCACTTTGTCCTGATCCAGTATCACATCAACGTCCAGACGGTGGTCCAGTCGTAGGATTTCTTCTCCAATGTTCGAGATCACCAGGTAGCGGATCCGACCGGAGCCTTCCGTCACTGTCGGTATCCATCGTTCTCCTCTGGTCACCCACAATTTCTCGGTGGCCAACAATTTTATCCTCGCCGCTGTTTCTTCCGACCGGCCAACCGGGATTCGTAGAGATCGCTCGAGGATCACTGATCTCACCATCTCGCCGTATAGTCTCTTACGACCATTCAGCGGTATTCCGACCTCGTCAGGTAAACGCATTGATCCGTCGGCGAGGTACATCCGTACCCCGACTGGTACCATGAAATCCATGCCCAGGATCGCGTTCTGTCCTGAGAGATCCCCGATCCAGATGTCGAAAAAATCCACCAGATATCCCGCTAGAGTGATCTTGATCTTGGTTCTTCCTTCCGTAGTATATACGTTGTGACCGATTCCCACACATTCCTGTCGCTGACTAGTGTCAAAACTGCATCCCACCTTCTGAGCAAAGGTGGTATCCAAGATTGATACCTCAGCACCAGTATCTAGGAGGAGGGTCGCTCTCTCGTGATTGGTCCTTCCCGAGATCTTGGCTTGTCGGAACCATTTCTACATTTCCCCGGGGAATGACGTTTCCAATAGCCCCGGGGTTCCCCTCTTTTGAGATCTAAGGCAACCTCCGCATTAGATCTGCTGAATTCGCTGATCCGGGGAAGACTCGCGATCTTGGCGGTGTACGAATGCAAATTACATGTATTACCGCGTAGATCCAACTCCTTCCTACCTCGATCTGTCGTCGCCTTGTTCACATAGGTGTAGATGCAATATCTAGAACGCTCGGCTCGTACCGGATTCCACCCCGGAGAGCGTCCTAGTTTAACATCTTCTCGACTTGTTCGGGGCATGTCGAGTCGGATCATACCATTTGTGTATCTGGTTGTAGAATTCTTCTATGGGGCATTTTCCTGCCTCGTAGACGTCCCCGCATCCATGACACGCATACAGACAGTGATCCGTTGGGTGACCTCTCTTCCCACACATTTCACACGTCAGACGCTTCCAACAGTCAAGATCTGTGTGTTTCCTGGACCCACAATGAGAACAGCGGTCTCGATCTTGGTAACCCGTCGGGTGGCCTCTCTTCCCTCATTTTTCGCATGTCAGACGCTTCCAACAATCCAGTTCCGTGTGTTTTCGGTACCCACAATGAGAACAGCGGTCTTGATCTTGGTGATCTCTGTCTCCCGGGCTGCGACGATCGGGTGGGATCCTGCCTCCCTCAGACGCTTTCGTTCGAGATCGTGCCTGATCTGGGTTGTGCGAGGCGCCCCCGGGGCTGATCAACTTCTCTTCTGCCGCGGCCAGGAAGATCCTTCACAGTTCGCCTTCCGAGTCGGATCCGTCCGATCCCGAGACCCCTTCTGACTCGGAGATCGGATCCTGCGCCTGGATCGCGCGTACCGATGACACGGGCTGGCGCAACCGGGGCGCTGGCCGGGGCCTTCTGTCGAAATTTCGACCCGAACGCGGATCTGGAGCGCTGGACGGGGCCTTTGTCGGAATTTCGACCCGAACGCGGATCTGCGTTGCCTACTCTTGGCTCGTTCCCTCGCAACGGAGAACTTCCTCCAGTTCGTCGACGTCAGCCAAACGTAATAGTGTTAGGCGATCTGCCAGGATCGCCAAACGTTTCGATGTAATGATCGACGTGTTCCCGACGCGCCTTTGAGTTTCCGTCCTTGATCTTGAGTTTAGCTCGTAGAGCAGCTACGTTCAGTCGATAAAGATAATCCAGCGGGGTCTCCTCGGATCTTTTCCGGGCATGGTAATATTGCCATGCCACTGACATACCTAGACCGCAGTATTGTGTCTGTAAACTTTCAAATAAATCCGCCTATTTGGTCTTGGTCGTCCGACTTAGCTGTCGGTGTCAGTTCTTGGCTGGTCCCACCATCAGATCCGCGAACGTGAGGTATTTCTTCTCTCCTGTTGCTTGATCTCGCTGGAACGCCGATTTCACCTTGCCGATCCAAGCTCTGGGGCGATCTTCGTCCATATCCTTTCCGGTAAATCTTTCAGGTCTGAGATGGCCGAAATTCGCACCCTCTGGATCAGCGATGAGCCTCCAGAGCCGATCGCTGCCGAGGCGACCGCGGCTCGGCCGGAATTATGACCGGAGGAGCTTGGAATACCGAGATCGTCGGGATCGTACTCCCAGGAGTGGGGATCCAGGGTGCCGACTGATTCCATGTCGATATCCTGCGTACCAAGTGGTGGAGGTTGCACCGTCACCTGACTTTGTTCTTTCAGGAATCGATTAATCGCCATCTGGAAGTATTCGTCCAGCGTATTGCTAGATCCGGACGAGTTGGTGGTCAGGGTGGCTTGTCCTGCTGGGATCTGGCGTTCTTCCTGCCGATCGGGCTCTCTGGAGTTCGACTTGGTCCTGCCGGCCGTCGATCCGGGCTGTTCGCGCGTGATCTCAGGTACTTCGCACCCGAGGGACCTAGCGAAATACGTTGCGGAGCTCGGGGAGAATCTGAGTCCGGTTCCGAGGTAGCTGACGCGTAATGCGACGACCCGGTCTGATAGTTCAGATCGGGCATTTGTACGTGTTCGCCGACCAAGATCTTGAGCGATTCGTAGAGATCTTGAGTCGCCGCCTGGACCCAGTTCCATCTCGAACAGGGCATCTGGATCGAATTCTCCCGCTACTAGACCGGCCTCCTGAAGGAGATCCAGCAGGATCTTCACCGCTTTCAGCCTGTCTGTGCTGGTGTTGGGCTTGGATATCGGGCCTGTCAGATCGCCGATCTGGCGGACCTGTATGATCGCGAGGACAGGATCCTGCAGCAGTGTTTTGCTCAGGATCTTCAGATAGTAAGCCTGCTCGATCATGTCTTTGGCGATAGTAGATCTCGGTTTATTCACATCTTCCGATTCTGAATCTGGTGCCTTCAGCTTCGTCCGAGCGGCCTTGATCTTTATTTTCTTGTACGTTTTTGTCGAGGCCGTCGACTTGGTGGACAGATTGGACTTCGACTTAGTCGTGTCCTTGTCCGTTGTGTACGGATCTAGGTTCTCATCGAGATCAGCGGTGACCGCCGCGGCGGCCTTGAGAGAAATTCGAGGCTTTTCTTCAAGATCTGGGTCTTGATCCAGGTTCGCCTCGTGTCTGTCAGCAGAGATCCTCTCCAAACTTCGCTGATCTGTGGATCTTGCTGTATTAAGCGATGTCTCCGTTGATCCAGCATTCGTAGCCACTTCTTCCCTGTGTTCTTCTTTGACCTTCATCTTCTTGGGACTCACGGTGAAATCCCGAGTCACCAGAAGATCCGGGCACGCGCACTATTGTGCCAAAGCGGAATCCGTGAAAATCTTGTAATCGCGGTTCCCGATACCACTG